TTCTCCTAATCTGTAGGTTCTCTTTTTACTCTTTTGGAGAAGTCTTTTGATGGACATAAGAATTTAAGTTTTATAGAAAGTCCCAGTCACCTAGTTTATCTGCTGTTGGATTGATTTTAATGTCATCAATTTAATTTCTTAATTTGGTTTATTTGTTTGTTTGTTTTTCCTTTTGTCAGTCTAGCAAATGGCTTGTCTATTTTATCGATCCTTTCAAAGAACTAACTTCTGGTTTTGTTGATTCTTTCTATTGTTTTTCTATTTAATTTATTTCTGCCCTGGTTTTTATTATTTCCTATTTCTCGTAGTTTTTGTATTCTTTTATTCTTTCTTTTCTATTTGTTTAAGTTGTCTGTTTCAGTTAATGATATTAGATCTTTCTTCTTTTTTAATGTAGTCATTTACTGCTATGAATTTCCCTCTGAGTGTTGCTTTTGCTGTGTCCCAAAGGTTTTGATATGTTGTGTTTTCAGTTTTGTTTGATTTTGAAATTTGTAATTTCACTTTGGATTTCTTCTGTGATCCAATACCTTTTTTTAGTAATGTATTATTTAACTTCTATATATTTATATTTTCTTGTTGTTGATTTCTAGCTTCATATATTATAGTCAGAGAAGATGCTTTGTATGATTCCAATCTTTTAAAATTTTTTTATATTTATTTTGTGTCCTAGCATGTGGTGTATTCTGAAAAATGATCCATGTGTGTTAGAGAAGTCTATGTATTGTTCTGATGCTGAGTGGAGTGTTCTTTATATGTCCATTAGGTCCAATTCACTTATGGTTTCATTTAAATTCTCAGTGTCCTTGTTATTGTTATTGTTGTTAGGTGCCATCAAGTCAGCTCCAACTCATAGCAACCCTATATACAACAGAATGAAACATTGCTTGGTGCTGCACCAGCCTCACAATCATTGCTATACCTGAGCCCATCATGGCAGTCGCTGTGTGAATCCATCTGATTGAAGACTTTCCCCTTTCCAATGACTCTCCACCTTACCAAGCATGATGTCATTGTCCAGAGAATGGTCACTTCTGACAACATGACCAAAGTAGGTCAGATGAAGTCTGGCCATTCTCACTTCTAAGGAGCATTCCAGCTGCACTTCTTCCAGGATAGATTTGTTAGTTCTTCTGGCACTCCAGAATATTTTCAATATTCTTCACCACACCACAATGCAAAAGTATCAACTCTTCTTTGGTCTTTCTTATTCAATGCCCTTAGTGATCTTTTTAGATATTGTGTTTGTAATTGAAAGTGGTGTGTTGAAATCTCTCACTATTTTTGTGGAGTTGTCTATTTCTCCTTTCATATTAGGCAGTATTTGTTTCATGCATTTTGGTGCATTGTTGTGAGATGCATATATTTATAATTGTTATATATTCTTTCTGGATTGACCTTTTTATTATTATGTAATGTCCTTCTTTACCTCTTTACCTCTTATTTTGATTTAAACTCTATTTATATGATAACAGTATGGCCACCCTTGCTCTTTTTTGTTTACTATATTGCAAGGAATGTTTTCTTCCATCCTTTTATTTTCAGTCTGCTTTTGTCCTTATGTTAAAGGTATGTTTCTTGTAGACATCAAAAAGATGGATCATGGTGGGCTTTTTTTTTTTTTCACAACCAGTTCTGTCACTCTCTGCCTTTTGTGTGGAGCTTTTAGATTACTGACATGTAAGATTATTACTGAAAATGAAGTGTCTACTTCACTCATTTTGTTATTTGTTTTTTGAGGGCTTCATATCTTCTTTGTTCTTTTACTCTCATTTTTCTGTTTTTGTTTGTATTTGACTGTTTTCTTGTGATGACCCTTTTTACTTTCTTCCTTCTTTTTTTCTGAATATTTTTCATTGATGATTTCTTAAATGTTCCCACATACGTTACATTGCACAACTTATAATTGCAACAACATTGAACATATGAACAATAGTTAACATGCAATCTTAATATAAATCTATTCTTGATATTCTCCTTTCTCCCCTATTGCTGTTGGTGTGTGTCCATTAACATCAGTATACAACTTTTGCTCAGTAAGTTTACTTTTTATGTATTTATTACAAGCTTAATGTTACATCTTTTGTGGAATTTAATTACTGAATTTATTCCCTGAAAATATATACCTAGTCCTTATGATTGTCAATGTTATTGTGATTTTTTAAGATCTCTCTTTTGCTTATTTTTATTTTCTAGAAGGAAGGTTGGGCAATCCTACTTCCGTAGTGATACTGCCTCGGAAACCCAAGGAGGGGTCGCTATGAGTCGGGGCCGACTCGACGGCACATAACAACAACAACAACAAGTGTATAGATACAAATGTTTATTTAATGCTCTTGCCTTACCATTTGGAGTACTAACTTGAGTAACACTTGCAAAGCTGTTCTGGTAATGACAAATTCCCAGAGCTTCTGTTTGTTTGAGAATATTGATTTCCTCCATATTTTTGAATGACGACTTTGCTGGGAAAAGCATTTGTGGTTGGCCATTATTTTCATTCAGTATTTTATATATGTAGCTTCATTGTTTTCTGGCCTCTAGAGTTTCTGGGGGGAGATCTGCAATTATTAAGAAAGCGCCTTTGTATATTGTCATAGATTAAATTGTGTCACAAAAAAATATGTGTCAGCTTGGCTTGACCATGATTCTCAGTGATTTGGTAGTTATGTGATGATATACTTTGGTAGTTATGTAATGATATAATTCGGCAGTTACATAATAATGTTATAATCTTCCACAATGTGATGTGATGTGATCAGCCAAGATGTTATAAGGTGATTACGGTTGGATGTAACACTTTTACTCAGGTCACAGCCCTGATCTGTGTAAAGGAAGTTTCCCTGAGATATGGCCTATATCATCTTTTACCTTACAAGAGATAAAAAGGAGAGAGAAGTGAGCAGAGAAAGAGGAAACTACTACCACCAAGAAAGAAGAACCAGGAGCAGAGCACATCCTTTGGACCCAGTGTCCCTGCACTGAGAACTTCTTAGACCTAGGGGAAGATTGATGCTAAGACACACGGAGATTCGAAGGAATGCCAGGACTACAGATGTTGAAAGGAGACAAAGAACTTTCCCCAGAGCTGACACAGAGAGAGAAAGCCTTCCCCCAGATCTGGCACTCCAAATCTGGAATTCCAGCCTTCTAAACTGTGAGAGAATAAATTTCTGTTTGTTAAAGCCACCCACTTGTGGCATTTCTGTGTTGGTATTGCTAGCAGCACTAGATAACTAAGACAGTATGTTAAAATGCATTTTTTTTTTTCTCTTGCTGCTTTCAGAATTCTCTCCTTGTCTTCGCTTTTCTGGAATTTTATTAGGATATAGCACTGAGTTGAGTTGATCTGTGTGTGTCTCTCCTAATTGGTTTACTGTCCAGAGACATCTCTGTTAAAATAAATATAACCCTGGTTACAAACAATGACTTCTGTTTAGTTACACTCAGGTACTCTCTGTATTCCTGTCACAGTTCCCTTTCCATTCTATATGGATGGTATTTTTCCTATCCTCTCAAAGCTAGCATGAGGCTGAGGTAAAGTCCATTCTTATAGATTCTTAGCTTTAGACTACCTTCTGGAAGAAATTTGAATAGGCAGTTTCAGGCAGGAATATGAGAAAGCTCATTGCAAGCCTTTTCTCTAGGCTTTTCCACCTACAAAGTGCAAACATCTTCCAGGTCTGCTGCAATATTTCAATGTCTAGAGAGTCAGCCAGGAGCGAAAGAGTTAAGTAAAGCCAGCTTTCAGGTCTGGGTCCTGAGTGAACATTCCTGCCTCCAAGCAATCTGCCAGCCTCTGGGGCTAGAGGCTAAATTTAGAGAGTGGCTAAGATTTCCTGTGAACAGCTGTCCTGCCCCCTTGGAGAAGAAACACTGAAAAGAGAGGAGAGAGGTTGGTCCCTGTCACTGGTGGGAGCGTCTGGCTATTTTGTCTGGGTCCCTTGGCCCTCAAGTGACTGTATCTTGGTGTGGAGACATAAGAAGGCCCGTGGTGAGTGTGCTTCTCTCCTCATTTTGTTGTGGTAAGCCCCAGACTTATAAGCAAAGGGGAAGCAGCTCTGCCCTTTGTGTCAGGGCCCAGCCATGATGACTGAGACCAACTGCTAGGGGATTTCATGTCTTTTAATAGGTGTGGGGAGGTGCTTGAGCCAAAAGCCCCAAGTTCCATCGCCTTGGTCAGACTCATTGAGTTGAGAAGAGGGCCAGCTACACCACCCCCAGTAGAGAAAAAAGGGGTGTACATGAGTGTGGACATGTGTGTGCATGTGTATGAGTATGTATGTGTATGTATGTGAGAAAGTATATGTGAGTGTGTGTAATTATGTGTGTATGTGAGAAAAAGGGTACATGTGAGTGTATGAGTGTGTATGAGAAAATAGTGTACATGAGTATGGGCATATGTATGTGTGTGAATGTGTGAGTATATGTGAGTAAGTGTGAATATGTGGGTATGTGTGTGTACAAGAGTATATGAGTATGTGAGTGTGTGTGTGTGCACCCATACTCAGAAATCTCACAGAAAACTTGTTCTGATTACCTAGGCTGGGGATTTCACTGTTCTTCAACCTATTTAGCCATAAACTAAAGTGAATTTCCAGTTCAACTCATATCTTCCTTACTGGCAACTGTGGAAGGAACCACCTTGTCACTCTTTAAAGATTGTGACCCCCAGGGTGGGCTGGGTGTGGGCTTGGTGCCCTGGTAAAAGAAGCTGGACCTGACCTGACTGGTTTTTCCCTGTGACTCCTTTCCTTTACCCACCAGGGTTAAGTCCCTTCTCCTGCTTTACTATGGTTTCATTTGGCAGACAGGGACAGTAATACCTGCCCTGTGTACTGCACAGATTGTCCTGTGTTGTGAAATTACTTTGGAAAACACAAGGCATTAGTATGTGACAACTTTCCCATTCTTAGCCCCACTGAGGTTACATCACTGACCTCTGAAACCTGATGCCCTTATTGCCCTTTTCCTGCCAAATTTACAGAGGCTGACAGGCTGTCATGGCAACCAGTGGAGACCCAGAGGAGGAACAGGTAGTCCCAAGTGAAGAGGATGAAGCTGATGTAAGGGCAGTGCAGGCCCGGTACCTCCGGAGCCCCTCCCCAAGCCAGTAAGTCTACATACACTCTCTGGGTTCCACAGCACAACCACAGTGGGGAGGAAGGCTAGAGAGGATGGTGTGAGGTGAGCCCTAGGGTTCCACAGCCACCACCTTAAGTTCATTCATTCAACAAACATTATTTGAGCCCTCAATATGTGTCATACTTCCTGGAGGAAGCAAATGCACAAACAGATTGCACTGCAGTGTGGAATGGAAAGTGCTAGATATTAGTATGTCTAGGGTCCAGGAAGGTTGGGCAATCCTACTTCCATAGTGATACTGCCTCGGAAACCCAAGGAGGGGTCGCTATGAGTCAGGGCTGACTCGACGGCACATAACAACAACAACAACAGGGTCCAGGGGAAGGAAATAATTTGATTTGGTAAAGAAGTATTCTTGGAGGAGATGATGCTAGACCTGAGCTTGGAAGGATGAATAGAAGTTTGGCAAATCTACCTGGAGGGGAAAGGGGGATGGTGGTGAAGTGATAGAATTCTTACCTTCCATGCAGGAAACTCAGGCTCAATGCCTCTCCTCATCTGTCAGTGAAGGCTTGCATGTTGCTATAACAGTGCACAGGTTTCAGTGGAGTTTCTAGACTAAGACAGACTAGGAAGAAAGTCCTGGAGATTTACTTTCAAAAATCAGCCAATGAAAACCCTGTGGATCACAACGGTCTGATCCTCTTGTGCTTGGGGTCACCATGAGTGGGGAGTGGGAGGAGGACTTGAAAGCAGCTAATGACCACAGCCTGGAAGGAGGGTATGTAAAGCACTCAATTCCCTGGGATTGAGGCTGGATATGAGTATGATAAGGAGTCCGGGTGGCACAGTGGTTAAGTGCTCAGCTGCTAACCAAAAGTGGTTAAATGCTCAGCTGCTAACTTGAACCCACCAGGGGCTCCATGGGAGAAAGACCTGGTGATCTCTTCTGTAAAGATTACAATCTTGGAAATCCTATAGGGCAGTTCTACTACATCATATAGGCTCTGGTTGTGTAGTGCCTATGGCATTTGACTGTTAACCAGAAGGCTAGTGGTTCAAACCCACCAGCCACTCCTCTGAAGGAAGACTGGGCAATCTACTTCCATAGAGATAGCACTTCAGAAACCCAAGGAGGGGTCGCTATGAGTTGCCTCTGACTCAATGACAGTGACTTTGATTATTGAGTTTATGAGTCAGAATTGACTTGGTAGCAAAAGGTGTGAGGATGATAGACTAGAGACTGTAAGAGAAAGATAAGGAGAGGAAGAAGCCTGTAGAATCAGTGCCTTAGTACTAGAATAATCTTGCATCTGTCATCAAACTATGTTTCTCAAACTAGGTTGTATACAAACCCAGGAGCAAGTGACAACTTGCCAAGGGATAGATAAACATGATGTTTCGTCTTTGAGTGTCCTTTTACTTTATGACAAGTAAAATAAAAAAAAAATTACATGAACAATAGCAAAAAGAGCAGCTGATGAGGCTGTTTATGTACAACCAATTAAATATCTCATGGGATTTGATTTCTTGGTTTGGAGGTTTAAGGTCATGGTTTCATGGAACAGCCCAATTAATTAATTGGAACAGCCCAAATATTATGTTTAGTACTTCTGTTATATCTCCTAGTTTTTTGCATAGTGCCTGGGGTTTTAAAAGCTTGCACGTGGGCATCCAGTTGGTCTCTATTTGTCTGGAGCAATGGAGGAAGAAGGACAGTCAGAAACAGGAGGAAGAAGTGGAATGTGTGGCTGATTGCCTTCATGAACAACTGCATCCTTCGCCATGAGAACAGAAGAACTGGATGGTGCCTAGCTACCATTACTGAGCATTTTGATCAAAGATTCTATAGAAGAACCCTGATCAAAAGGGGGAAAATGTAGAAAAGAATTTCAAAATTTTGTGGAACTTATACTTTATGGAGCCATGGAGGCTGGACAAACCCTGGAAACTATTACCCTGAGATAATCTTTAAACCTTAAACCAAAAATATGCCCTGAAGTCTTCTTAAAACCAAAACACAATAGTTTATCTTAGCTGGTAAAGAATGCCTGCCTTGAGCATTATGCTCTATTAAGAACTATCTGTATGAGATCAAATTGACAACAGCAATTCAGAAAATCAGAGAGGCAAGTCAGGGGGAAGTGAGTTTATGCTAATTAGAAAAGGAGGGTAAGAATGGTTGCACAACTTGAAGAATGCAAGCAGGATCACTGAATTTTACGTGTAAAAATTGTTGAATTGATACATGTTCTGCTGTGTATATTCTCAACAAAACATAAAATTAAAAGGATTAAGCTGATGCTAAAATAACTGAAAAATTTACATGAATTTTAAGAAAAACTATGAGACATCAAAGAAATTGGATACTTAATTACCTGCTGTACAAATGGCATGTGGGAGTGTCTGTGACCTCCTCTAACTTCAAAAGGGGTGTTCTGGTTACCTAGTGCCACTCTGACAAGAATGTACCACAAAGGAGAATGGCTTTTACAGACAGGAGTTTATTCTCTTATAGTTCTGGAGGCTAGAAGTCTGACTTCAAAGTGTGAGGCTCTAGGGGCTGTGTGAAAGCCCCCCAGCCTTGGGTTTCAGCTCTGCCTCCTACTCCCAGCCCACTGAAGCTTGAGGCATCTCTTCACTCAGGCAGCTACTGGCTGCTGAGGCTAACAAACCCAAGGTTGACAAATAAAATGGCACAGTCCTGATGTTACCAAACCACATGGCAGGCCATTGATTAAATCCATTGAAGTCCCAAAACCAGCAGAGCTGCTGAACAACGACTCGGGTACATGCAGGGTTCAAGTGTGCCATAAGCTGGAGACCATTCCCAAAGCTGCTGCTTATATACAGGAAGCAGACCACATCCCTAAAGCAGCTACTCAGCTGCTGGGGTAGATCCCACCATGGAGCTGATTGCCAGTCTCATCATGGAGAATAACTACCACCAGCTGCCCAGCCATTCAACCAGGCCCAGCCCAAGTTGATGCACAAACTTAACCACCACAAGGAGGAAGGAGAATCAAGATCAACAGCCAAGGCTGATTCCTGTGAGATGGAGGTCAGACATCCCTCCTCTCATCAATCTTTTTACCGACTCTGACATGAGCTGTACCTCCTACTGCACTCTCTACTTCTCTGCTGAGGCCAATAGTTCACTGCAATGGCCACACAGAATGCACATACCATATTTGCGATTATTCTGTTTATTAGGGAAGGAACAGATACAAATCAGGATCAGGATCAACTTGGAAGTAACAGGAACAACTCAGAATACAGTTCTCAATTAAGACAACTTTTCACAGTCTGGTGTTGGGCTCTGCTAGGGGCTTTATGCTGCTGGGCCTTACTTGGGGTCTTCTCTGTTGTTGTTATTTGCCCTCGAGTCAGCCCCGACTCATAGCGACCCCTCCTTGGGTTTCCGAGGCAGTATCACTACGGAAGTACAATTGCCCAACCTTCCTTCCGAGGAGTGGCTGGTGGGTTTGAACCGCCAGCCTTCTGGTTAGCAGTCAAGTGCCTTAGGCACTATGCTACCAGAGCTCCTTTAGCAAGTGCTAAAACTCTTGGCTCTTCTATTGCTCTTGTTACTGCTGTGCTGTCATCTCTTGCTATCTTCCATGTTACAGTTTCTCTTCTCTTTCCTTCAGTTCTCCCCTCCCCTTCTCTTCTCTTCTCTCTCTCCCTTTTTCCCTGTCTCCCTTTTAGCCTATTGAGTTGCAAATGAACTAATTCCCTTGGTGGGCCATAAACACTTCATTTGCATAATCCCACCCAGTCATTTGGTGGAAGATACAAGACTCTGACTAGAAAGGCCATATTAAGTAATTCACTTCACCACACTTGCTGAAGCAATAGTGGGTGTGTGTTCTTTTTCTTCTGGTATAAATGGTGTTCATGTGGGAGCAGGAAACCTGAATTCTGATCCTAGTTGTTTCCAAATTGCTGTGAGGAATCACTGAAATTTTTGAGCCTGAGTCTCTTCATCTATGAAAAGAAAAGGAAAGGAAGAGAAAGGCCTCACTAGAAAATCTCAACATAACTGTGATCTGAGCAGATCTATTATTCTGCTTGGTTTGACTTTTCCTTGCTCCCACTGGCTCCTGCTCTCAGGTTTCAGAAGGCTCACTCAGTGGAGTAAGATGGGAAGCAAGGATGAATGCGTATCATTCACAGGCCAGGGCACTTTACCCAAATGGAACCTGGGAACTCTTCCTGTAAAATTCAACTTTATGTTCTCACTTGGAAAAATTGTCAGATTGGGAGATTTAAAATATGTCCCTTTCCTCCTCTACACTCCCAGTCAAGGAAGAGGTAGCTTTATGTGTGGATGGGGTAGTTGACTGCTATGTTTATTAAGATAGTGTTAGCTGCTATAACATATAGGCCTTTCCTTCTCAGTGGAAAAAGATCTAAAGCAGGTATTTGAGTAGTGATTCAGGGACTGAGGGACACATCTTATAAGGTTAACTCCTCGGAAGGAAGATTGGGCATTCTACCTCAGTAGAGATACCACCTCGGAAACCCAAGGAGGGGTCACTATGAGTCGGAAACGATTTGACAGCAGTGAGTTTATTTTTTGTCTTTATGCCTGTCCCCAAAGTGGGATGTTGTTGTTGTTGTTGTTATTTGCCGTCGAGTCAGCCCCGACTCATAGCGACCCCTCCTTGGGTTTCCGAGGCAGTATCACTACGGAAGTAGGATTGCCCAACCTTCCTTCTGAGATAACTTCCTATATTTGACCTTTGTTCTCCTTTCTGGGAGGAACTCCCTTGTCTATTGCTCTTTGTGATCTCTACCTCCATCCTTTGGGACTTCTTCCTTGTTCATTATTCTCCACAGCTACTTCTGAAGTGGGATTGAAGACTGTCTTCCTTGAGGGCTGTATAGTTTTACAGACTGTTTCTTGATCATGGAAGTTTGGGGCCCAAGGACTATTTTAAGGTTTAAATAGCAAAGGTTCATGATTTCTTTGAAAATTTGATCCTGTCAAAAACTTAATAGGTTTCTGATCTATTTGAGTCAGAC